CCCAAGTGCTTGGGCGCTGCACCTGCATGGGAGACCAGGAGGAAGCACCTGGCTCCTGGCTTCGGATCGGCCATTTGTGGGGGTGAACCAATGGAAGGAAGACCCTTCTCTATCTCTCTAACTCTGTCCAAAACAAACAAACAAAAAGAATGACATGACAGAGAGCTTCATGTATTATTCAGGCATTCAGTAAAGGTCTTTCTAAAGAGATGGCACTTAAACTGAGACCCAAATGGCAAGGAGTCTTATGTGAAATTATCTAGGAAAAGAACATTCCAGAAATAAATAGCGAGTGAAAACTCTTCAAGGCAAGAACAAGCTTGGCATGTTCTAGGGACAAAAAGCATATGCAATACAATGTGGGGAGAAGGGAGGGAGAGAGGGAGAGAGAATAATGCAAAATGGAGTTGATAAGGCAAGCAGTTGCCAGATATCATAGACCCTTACAGGTCAGGGTAAGGAACCAGATTTAAATGTAATTATGAGTTGGGGGAGTGGTTTAGGAGGAAGTTGGAGGATTTGACTTACATCTAAAACAGATCAGTCATGCTACTGTGGGAAGAATAGGTTTGGGTAGAAGAAAGAAAGCAGGGAGATTACTGTAGTACTGCCATAAAGCAATGATGGTGACTTTGTCCGGAATGGTAGGAGAGCAACAGATTTGGGATTTCTCAAATACAGAATCAACAAGACTTATACCTTACACAGCAGTCTGCTACACAAAGACCTGAATGTTCTGACCATGAAGTAGGCAGGCATACAGGTTAAAACTGATCAGATTTGTGAGCTGGAAGACCACGCCTTCACCACGCCCCTGTGTGACTTCACGCCCTGATACCTTCGCCATGCCTCTTTGTGACCTTACACTCTACCTGATACCCCACCACGCCCCACGTGACATCAGGCTCTATCTGACCATACCTGAGTGCCCACCTGGCCACAAGCCACTCCCCTGTGGAAAATATATAAAAAGGCAGGGAGTGTTGCAAAAGCTCTCTCGGCCTCTGCGGTGCTGCTGGTGATAGGCGGTGGACAGCAGCTCGAGGGCTTGCTGCATGTGGCTCTGGCCTGCTCTCCGAGTGGTGTGGACGTTACTCCAGCTCCCAGACTTTCCCCTCTCTCCTACCTGAACTAGAGCCTTCACTTTCCTAGATACATCTTGCACTAAATAAAAGTTTAAAATGTACCATGTTGCCTCGTTTATCTGTGCCGGTATTTAGAATTCTTCTCTAAATATTAGGCAAGAACCCTCTCAGGCTTATTAATATCAGGGATTTAGTAATAAGCCCGTGGTGAAATCGTACGGCACCCCAAATTCCGGTAGCACATGTGGCACCCCGGATAGCATTTCTATGGAACTTTAAGGGGCCACATTTCAGGGTAAATTTTAAGGGGTCTTTTCCGATTTCAATCAGTGCTAGTCACTGCACTTAGTTTCCAAGCATAGATTGAGATTTGCAATAGATTAGGCCTAGGCTCAGATAGGCATGTGAATTCAGCTTGATCACTTAATCACCATGAGACCTAATATAAGTTATTCTTGCAACCTTCTCACCTGTGCAATGAAGATAACAATTCTTAGCTCAAAGGGTAACTGTGAAAGATAAATAAGATAATGCATGAAAAGCATTTCACACAGAATGTGGCCTCAGCTGGAGCTTGATGAATACTGCCGCCATCATTATAAGGTATTAGACACTTTCACATTCGTTCCAATGGGCTAATGGCAGTCATGTTTCTCCTGGCCTCCCTGCCTTCAATTCCCTCTTATCTGTCCTAAATCAGCTGGAGGACTGTGCCTACAGCATAACTCAGTCATCGCATCTCCCTTTCATAAACACTGCAATGGCTCCACTACCTACAGATTAAAATTCAGATGATATGTGTGGGGAAATTAGATACACCAGGCAATTCAAAGATGGTACCCAAAGTAAGTAAGGTGGGTGGAACCCAAAGTTGTTTACCACCAAAGCTAATTGGTCATGTAACATCAGGGGAAGTGACAACAACTGATGACGAGTGTATAGACATATGGCTAGTCCTATAAAAATCGCCCTATAAAATGACCTTTAAGTGATTGGTTAGTCCTTATGCCCTGCCCCAATGACTCTGCAGTTTTGTGCTTTAAAAGGCTTTGCTACATGTGCAATAAATGAGTTCTTGACTTGACTCCCCGCTGCGTCTGACTGTCTCCAGGATTGGGAGGCTGGGAAACGGGTGAACAGCGTGCTTACCTTCCCTCAGGCCCAGTCCATCCTCGTACGGGTGGACTAAGACCCTGCAATATGCATAGTCCTGCATATTCAGGACCCTCCTGAATACCTATGCAGCCCCTTATTTCCTAATCTATAGCCATGACCAATTATTTTCAGTTCCCTGAAAAACTTCTGTTCCATCTTACCATATTTTTGCCAATGCTGTTCCCTCTGCATGAAGTATAGTTTCCCCTTGTGTACCTATTGAACAATTATTCATCTGTCCAGACACATCTTAGATACCATTTACATGACACCCCTTGCTATGGTTCGTATATCCCCAGCAAAACTCATGTTGAAATAAATTCCATTGTGAAGTATTAAGAGGTAGACTAGGTGGGACCACTAAGAGGTGAACGGGTCCTGATTAATGATTAGTGAATTAATGGCTCCCTCTGGAGTGGCTTTGTTATAAATGTGAGCTCTCTGTCTCGGTTGGCTTGCTCTGTCTTGCTATGTGATGCTCTGCACCGTGTCATGATCTGGAAGGAAGGCTCTCACTGGATGCCAAGCAGAAGCCAGCACCAGGCTCTTTGAGTTACAGAACCATGAGCTAAATAAATGTCTCTTCTTGATAGATTACCCAGTTTGTGATATTCAGTTATAGTATCTGAAAACAGACTAAGACTTCCCATTTCCCATCACCTAAGCCAGACTGCTATCTCCTTTCTGTTATCATTGTATACTGTCCATAATTCCAATACTGCAAGTATAGGTTTAGAATATGTCATCTCCAATTGAGAACAACCTAAGGGCAGGGCCTATGATCACAGATATATGCAAGCCCCTGCAGAGTAGCCATGAAGGAAACATTGGATGAATGAATGGAGAGCAATGCAGAAGCAGGAAGATTTTATGAATAACACCTCTTCAATATTTTTTGTTCCTAATCAGTGCTCATCTCAGGAAGGCTTTACTCTTGATGCTTAGGAGAAAGGGCTTTGGAATCAGAAAGCAATGCACCGGAGTATTGCTTCCACCACATCTACCACACATGACCCTGAACCTTTACTTATCATAAGACTCAGCCTAGGGTCCAGCGCTGTGGCATAGCAGGTAAATCCGCCACCTGCAGAGCCGGCATCCCATATGGGTGCTGGTTCAAGTCCCAGCTGCTCCACGTCCAATCCAGCTCCCTGCTATGGTCTGGGAAAGCAGTAGAAGATGGGCCCCAGTACCCGCATGGGAGACCCAGAAGAAGCTCCTAGCTCCTGATCAGCGTGGTTTTGGCTATTGCAGCCAATTGGGGAGTGAATCAGAGGATGGAAGACCTCTCTCTCTGCCTCTCCTTCTCTGTGTAACTCTTTCAAATAAATAAATCTTTTTTTTTTTTTTTTTTTATTTTTATTATTTTTTTATTTTTTTGACAGGCAGAGTGGACAGTGAGAGAGAGAGACAGAGAGAAAGGTCTTCCTTTGCCGTTGGTTCACCCTCCAATGGCCGCCGCGGCCGGCGCGCTGCGGCCGGCGCACCGCGCTGATCCGATGGCAGGAGCCAGGAGCCAGGTGCTTTTCCTGGTCTCCCATGGGGTGCAGGGCCCAAGCACCTGGGCCATCCTCCACTGCACTCCCTGGCCACAGCAGAGGGCTGGCCTGGAAGAGGGGCAACCGGGACAGAATCCGGCGCCCCGACCGGGACTAGAACCCGGTGTGCCGGCGCCGCTAGGCGGAGGATTAGCCTATTGAGCCGCGGCGCCGGCTCAAATAAATAAATCTTTACAAAAACAAAAGAAGGGGCCAGTGCTGTGGTATAGGAGATAAAGCTGCCACCTGCAGTGCCGGCACCCTATATGGGCACCAGTTCGAGTTCCAGCTGCTGCACTTACAATCCAGCTCTCTGCTATGGCCTGGGAAAGCAGTGGAAGATGGCCCAAGTCCTTGGGCCCCTGCACCCACATGGGAGACCTGGAGGAAGGTCCTGGTTCCTGGCTTCGGATCAGTGCAGCTCTGGCCATTGCAGCCAATTGTGGAGGGAACCAGCAGATTGAAGGCCTCTCTGTCTCTGTTTCTCTCTCTCTCTCTGCCCCCCCGCTCCCCCCCCCGCCTCTCTCTCTCTCTTTGCCTCTCCTTGTCTCTTTGTGTAACTGACTTTCAAATATATAAATCTTAAAAAAAGGAAAATGCATGATTAATTTACAAAGCTGGAAATCCAGATTATTTTCACAAAATTTAAAAACTATTCAAAAAGTCTATCACCACCATATAGTCAAAAAAAAAAAAAAAAAAAAAAAAAAAAAAACTTTCGCAGGTTGAATTAAGCCTATAAGGCTCCAGTCCACACCACTTTTTTTTTTTTTTTTTTTTTTTTTTTTTTTTTGACAGGCAGAGTGGACAGTGAGAGAGAGAGACAGAGAGAAAGGTCTTCCTTTGCCGTTGGTTCACCCTCCAATGGCCGCCGCGGCCGGCGCGCTGCGGCCGGCGCACCGCGCTGATCCGATGGCAGGAGCCAGGAGCCAGGTGCTTTTCCTGGTCTCCCATGGGGTGCAGGGCCCAAGCACCTGGGCCATCCTCCACTGCACTCCCTGGCCACAGCAGAGGGCTGGCCTGGAAGAGGGGCAACCGGGACAGAATCCGGTGCCCCGGCCGGGACTAGAACCCGGTGTGCCGGCGCCGCTAGGCGGAGGATTAGCCTAGTGAGCCGCGGCGCCGGCCTACCACTTTTGAAAAGGATTTAAAGGGCCGACGCTGTGGCTCACTAGGCTAATCCTCCACCTTGCGGCGCCAGCACACCGGGTTCTAGTCCCGGTTGCTCCTCTTCCAGGCCAGCTCTCTGCTGTGGCCCAGGAGTGCAGTGGAGGATGGCCCAAGTGCTTGGGTCCTGCACCCTATGGGAGACCAGGATAAGTACCTGGCTCCTGCCATCAGATCAGTGTGGTGCACCGGCCGCGGCGGCCACTGGAGGGTGAACCAACGGCAAAGGAAGACCTGTCTCTCTCTCTCTCTCTCTCACTGTCCACTCTGCCTGTCAAAAAACTTTTTTAAAAATTAAAAAAAATAAAAGGATTTAAGGGCAGGCATTATAGTACAGTAAGTTAAATTGCTGTTTGAGACACCCACATCCAATATTGAAGTGCTGGTTCTAGTCCCAGCAACTGCACTTCTGATCCAACTTCCTGCTAATGCACACCCCAGGAGGCAGTAATAGTGGCTTACATATTTGGGTCCCTGCCACCCATGTGGGAAACCCAGATTGAATTCAGAGCTTCTGGCTTTGGCCTGGCTCAGCCCAGGCTACTGCAGGCATTTGGAATAAACAAGCAAATGGAAGATACACCTCCCTCTTTCTCTCTCTCTTCTTTTTTTTTTTTTAAGATGTATTTATTTTACTTGAAAGTCACTGTTACACACAGAGAGAGAAGAGGCATAGAGAGAGAGTTCTTTCATCTGCTGGTTCACTCCCCAGATAGCTACAATGGCTGGAGCTGCACCTATTCAAAGCCAGAAGCCAGGAGCTTCTTCCGGGTCTCCCATGTGGGTACAGGGGCCCAAGGACTTGGGCCAGCTTCCACTGCTTTCCCAGGCCACAGCAAAGAGCTGGATGGGAAGTGGAGCAGCTGAGTCTCGAATCAGCGCCCATATGGGATGCTAGCACCACAGGTGGCAGCTTTACCCACTATGCCACAGCACCGCTCCCCCCTTCTTTGTCCCTTTCCTCCCAACTCACTCCCTTTCTAGTAGTTGAAAATAAACTTTTTTTTTTTAAAGATTACTTGAGGAGCCAGCATTGTGGTATACCAGGTTAAGCCATCACCTACAACATGAGCATCCCACATGGATGCCAGTTTGAGTCTCGACTGCTCTACTTCTGATCCAGCCCCCTGCTAATGTGCCTGGGAAAGCAGCAGAGATGGCCTAGGTCTCTGGGCCCCTGTACTCATTGCAACCAGCTGGGGAATGAACCAATGGATGAAAGCTCTCCCTCTCTGTAATTCTGATCCTCAAATAAATAAGTAATCATATGTTTTTTTAAAAAGACTATTTGAAAGACAGAGCTATACAAAGAAATATAGAGACAGATATCTTCTACCCACTGGTTTACTTCACAGGTAGTTGCAAAAGCCAGGGTTGGGCCAGGCTAACTCTATCCAGGTCTCCCACATGGGTGGTAGGGACCAAAATACTTGGGCCCCCTTCTTCTGATTTCCTATGTGCATTAACAGGGAGCTGGATTGGAAGTGGAGCAGCCAGAACATAAACCAGCACTCTAAGATAGACTGCTGGCATTTCTGGCAGTGGCTCGAGCTGCTGCACCGTAACACTGGCTCCTGCTCTTTTTTTTTTTTTTTTTTTTTTAAGATTTCTTTACTTGAAAGAGTTAGAGAGAGGCAAAGGGAGGTAGGGAGGTAGGGAGGTAGGGAGGTGGAGAGGTGGAGAGGTGGAGAGGTGGAGAGGTGGAGAGGTGGAGAGGTGGAGAGGTGGAGAGGTGGAGAGGTGGAGAGGTGGAGAGGTGGAGAGGTGGAGAGGTGGAGAGGTGGAGAGGTGGAGAGGTGGAGAGGTGGAGAGGGAATCTTCCATCCACTAGGTTTGCTCCCTAGATGGCCGCAATGGCCGGCCCTGCTCATTTCTTAACTCAGGGCAGGTGGTACCTTCTTCAGGTGTATTTCCCCTAATCCTTTATCCTAACACTCACCATGTAATAACAACAAACATGTATGAACACCTATCCTGTGCCCGTGTTTTATCTGTAAAAATCCATCTAATCCTTACAACTCTGAGATAGGTAATACTACCATCCTTATCTCACCTAAGATCAAGCAACCTGCCAGAGGTCACAGGGTTAAGAGAAAGCAAGAGGGATGGGCACTGTGGCCTAGTGGGCACCCCATTCTGCAGTGCTGGTTCGAGTCATTTTCTTACAGTTCAGTTTCCTAAGAATGAATCCTGAAAGCAGCAGATAACTGCTCAAGTTGTTGGGTCCTTCCACCCATGTGGGAGACCCACATGAAGTTTCTGGCTTCTGACTTCAGCCTGGCCCAAGCCTGGCTGTTGCAGGCACTTGGAGAGTGAACTAGAGGATGGAAGACCTCTGTTTCACAAAAATAAATAGTTTTAAAATGAAAACTAAATTTAAAAAATAACAGCACTGTCACTTGGAAAAAAATCAGGAAGCGTCTTGGCAAGACCTTGAAGAAAGAATGTTTCCTCCGGCAGGCATCAGTGAGAAGGAGAGCCCAAGAGAAGAGCAGCACGTGCTGAGGCACTGAGACACACAGCCTTTATCCGAAGATCTGCAGCCAGCCCGGAGTGGCTCACATGCAGGAACACACTGGGAACATCCAGAGGGGCAGGAGGCGAGACAGCTACTGAGCACACAAGGCTTTTCCAGGGCTTATTTTGCCAGTTGCACTGAGGTATAATTTACATACCATACAGCTCATCTCTTTTATGTGTATAATTCATTGATTTTTAATCAATTTAGAGTTGTGCAACCATCACCCCCAAAAAAGATACCTTCTGCTCCAAGTAACCACTGATCTTCCTGTCTTTCCAAATGAGCCTTCCCATTAAAAGCAGAAACAAAACAAAAAACCCCGATATTTTTAAAAATATTTTTTAAAAAATCACTCAAGTTGTGCAGATTGCTTGGAGGTGGGATAAAACTAAAGGACACCTCTGTCACTGCTTCCCAGAATGCTCAGATTTCCACCAGCTGAAGGCCTTCCAGTGTCTGACAATCCCCTTTCTTAGCCTAATCCTTTCCCTGGCCGGATATTCCCCTAGCCGGATATTCCCCTAGATGTTTTTTCACAAGCAGCACCTAATTAGTCCAAGTATCAGGTCAGTAGTTAATTTAATTAATCAAGATTGTGTGCACTTAACACAGGAAACCAGCGGCATTTTTATACTTGTCACCAGTGCAAGAAAATGCCCTTGCAGTTCGCTCTGTTGCATAAGGCCCATATTTGTGCTCCGCACACCATTTTTGTTTTGTTTTGGAAATGCCAGGATTGTACTGTGGGAGTCACTGCTCGTCTCCCCGCAGCACATCTTACTCCACAAGGGAGACTACAGCATCACCACGGATCTACAAATGCTCATCTCCCTGTTCTGCATGAGGTAGTGAGATACTGCTTTTCTTAAATGCTTGCTGATTTCAAAAAGCACCTGGGCACAAGGAGCTGTTCATTAAGTAGTTGTTGACTTTGGGTCAACAGCCTGAAAACAGTGTGGGGATAATGAAAAGCCTACATTTCCGTGACACCTCCAGAGCTGAGTTACTTAAATTTCCTGAGCTCCAGTCTCTTTACTTCTAAAACTAAGTAAATAAATAAATTGCTCCTGCCTTTTAGTTTGTTGTGATGATAAACCAGGCTACAGGGTAAGCAGAAGCCCACAGCACAGCCCGCAGCGCACCTGGCACCCATCACAGACAGTAGAGAGCACCTGGCTCCTCTTCTCTTTCCCTGTCCTCTGAGGCCTGAAAACAAACAGAAAACAGCATCCCTTGGTGTATGGCAGTGCTTGCCGTGTGCAGACTGCTCTGCGTATATCAAATACGCTCATCAAAAGCGGGCATTTGAGAAGCACCTAATCGACTTCATGCATCCAGAAATGACATCACCAGATTAACTGCCATTACTCGATAAACAAACAACTCGGGTTCTTTCAACTGATACTTCAAAATCCCTACTTACTTTTCTCATGTTCCTTCCAATAATTTCCTACGAGGTGGACCTGTCAACAGGAGGGACAAAAAAAAAAAAAAAAATGATCACCAACACCCTCAAGATCATGGCCTCGCTGCTCAAAGCCCCAAACTCTTCACTGGAATCTCCGGAACTCAGTCCAGCTACCTCCGAGGAGTTCCGATCCTGCCTACGGGACTCGTTCACAGCCGGTCCGCGCCCAAGCCGGGGAGAAACGCACAAAAACTAGTCAGCGACGCTGCGCCGCGCGTTGCCCGGATACGGTTGTCGGGAGTTGGGGCGTCGCGTCGGGCGGCGGAAACCCTGAGGCGAACGCCGCGGCGCCCGCGTCCTGAGTGCCGTCGGAAGGCTCGGTCCCCAGCCTCCCCTGACACGATTCCTTCTTCCGTGGGAGGCGGCAAACAAAAACGCTCCCTCGGCGGAAGAGCGCTCCCCGAGTTGCAAAGCGCCGCTCCCGCAGACCTCGCCGCCCCACGTCCCGCCATTGTTACGCGGGCGGCCAGCGCGGCCTCCGGAGAACAAACGTCTCCCCGCCCACGCCCCGGGGTCTCAACAGCTAACGGGGGCCGCGCGGGCGCGCTGGGGGCCCCCACCCCTCAGCCTCCGCCCGGCGTTCCAAGCCCCCTCAGCCTCGCGCAGGGCTGCGAGCGAGTCGTCCCGGTTCGTGGGCCGGCGCTGGCCGCTCTCCACCACCCAGCCTGGGGGAGGACGCGGCGACAGCCCGCCAGCCCAGGTGCTAACTAACGGGCAGGCGGGCCCTCAGGCCAGCTACCTGTCGCGCCCTCTCCCGCTTCCTCCCGCACCTCCGCTGCAAGCCAGACTGGGGCTCCCCAGGCCCGCGGGGCGCGGCACCGCACGCTAATTGCCCCGGCGGGCGGGCGGGCGGGCGAGCCCCTCGCCTCAGCGTGCCCGCCCCGACCCCGCCGCCCCGTGCCCCAGAGCCCCACTCCCCCACGGCCGTCACTGACGCCCCCAGCCTGGACCCCCGCAGTCCCGCAGTCCGGCGGGGTGGGCTGTGGCGTCCACGGGGGGCTTTGGGGGTTGTGGAGGTGCCCGGCCGGCCACGCGCCGGGGGCGGGGCGCGGGGCGAGCCGGCCGGCGGTTGGCGTTCGGAGCTGGCGCGCGCGCGGGTCCGGCCACGCGGCCGCCGGGCCACGCCCAGGCCACGCCCCCTCCCCGCCCAACTCCCCGCCGGCCCGGCCGCGGGTGGCGTGGCCGTGTCCACCCCGCCGCGGAGCCGGGGTCCGGGACGCAGAGGGCGGCTTCCCGTCCTCAGCCCATTTTGCAGAAGAGGCAAGCTGAGGCCTGCCCAGAGGCGCAGCGGGGCAGGCCGGGGGCGCAGCACGCTGGGCCTGGCATTGGTCTCCTTTCCTCTGGATCGACCTGGAATGGCGGCCCCACGAGCGCAGGCACCGTGCGGTCCTCGCGTTCACTGTGTGGCGCACTAGGCAAACTGTTAGAATCAATAACTCTTAAGCCTGACCCTCCATACTCCGAGTGGCCCCGCGGGTTCCACCAGGGGGACAGCGACACAGAATCGCTGATGGGGGGAGAGAGCACCCAGCCTGCAGGTCTCTGATGCAGAGGCGCTGGGAGAGCCCATGTATGCTTTTAAATAGATTGTCGGGCAAAGAATTAGCAACAGGGTAGGAGGGGAGCCCAGCTAGGGGGCGACTGGATTTAGAGGTGGTGACAGCGTAAACAGCGCTGGAAATGTTGGAGGTAGATTTTGGAGAATTACAGGAATTTGAAGGGTTGGACAGTGAGGGGTGGAGAGGGAGAAATCAGGAGACGTTCCTGAGGGGTTGGCGGGTGTACCTAAAACGGGAGACCCCACCAGAGAAACGGGTTTGATGTAATGGTAACAAGTGTTCTATTTGGGGGTTATGGTGCCAGGTCCAGGTGACATCTAGACAAATGGATGTACGAGTCTGAAGGTGTGAATTTGGGGCTTATACATGGTGTTTACAGTCCTAAGAATGAAAGACATCCAAGAAGCAGGCCCAGGACAGAGCCCTGAAGGTTTAGTTCAGGCGGAGGATGAAGGGCCTGATAAGGGGAGAAAGGGTTGGCCAGAGAGATAGTAGGAAAACTAAGATACACCCAAGAAAGGATCAGTTTCCCGAAGGACTGAGATGCCGGGACAGAAGACCAATACGAACTTGCTCAAAGCAGTTTCAGTGGAGCCAGGGGACAGAGAACGGGAGAAACAGTAGTTTAGATAAGTCTTTCAGGAGATTGTGGGGTGGAATAGCTAGTAGCCCAAGGCAGAGAGGACGTGAGGTCAAAGGATTTGTTGTCATAACACGCGAGCACACTTGCGTTGCTCTTGGGAATGACCCAGTAGACAGCAAGAGATCCCAGAGAAGGGGACCGTGGTTCACGGAGAAGGCTCTGGGGGGAAAAGGAGCATAGGAGGTCTGTTTGCAGAAGGAAGACTCAAACCAGCCAAAAAGGGTACCTTTGCTGCAGCCGGAGTGCTGAGTCTGGGAGCGCCACAGCAGAAGGAATGGCCGCACTGTTCCAGGCTGGCCACTGTTGCTTAGCAACCTGTGTTTAGTAAGATGTTTCAGCTGAATTCCTAATTAACGGCCATTTCAATTTACACTAACAGTTCCTGTCACTGAGGTCCCCACTCTGCCACTTTTCCTCCCCTTTCTAACTGTGAAACTGGAAGGCTCAGGTTTCTGCATCCTGGCTCTGTTGGAGATACACGCATCGAGATGTGAAAAATAATACATCTCAGAGAACATAGACTTAGGGACTCTGATCAAGAGTGATGCTGCTGAAAGTGGCAGGAGTTAGGACTCCAGGGCTCTCCCGAGCTTCACCTGCCTCCTTGCTCTCTCCTCCGCTGTCTCACAGCGGTACTAGAACTAAGCAGAACTCCGAATTCCCTCATTCAACCACCAAACTCACTCACTCCTCTTACAGTTTTTACCATTTCAGAACAAGGCTACCACCACCAACCCATCTGAGGTTAACCTCAGAGTCATTCTGGATTCCTCCCCCTTCCAAACCCACAGCACAAAATTAATTACAGCCTCTGACATGATTCCTAAATCCTGCCATTATCTGCATGGCCTCTGATCTAAGCTACCATCATTCTTTACCTGGAT